CTTATTTGATTCGACTTTGCCGCTTGCACTGCATGAAAAATTTCGTATTGATATTCTATCATTTCTATTTAGAATAATTAGATAGTTATGATATTGAATAGTTGACTATATTTTTAGTTCAATAGTTTCATTGTTAATCTATTCATATGTGTCAAAGATAGGTAGGTATATTACTTTTGAATAATATTATCATGATATCATGTCGAGTTTGCATCTTACTAATATTACGAATACATGGGAATTATATATAAGAATTCTCAAGTCATATTGTTGTATTATTTATTATTATTTGTAATAATAATAAAATTATATAGCATTAGTTAAGGTTTTAATTTAATCATAATACAGGTAATTATTTTTGACGCTATTTTTATTATATTTTTAAGATACTCGTGTACTTGTCATCGCATATGAACCGTACTGATTTTTTTATGACAAATGCGATAATAACATGCACTATACTCGCAAGAATATTGTATGTTTAAACGTTTCTATATTTATATTGAATTATATTATTATATGTATTCAAAGAACAACTTTTTTTTTTTTAATTTAATGAACGTGTTATGATAAGAAATATCAAAAAACATAAATATATAGTATCATTAAAGGGTTCGGTAATTTATCAGCTGATAGTCTAACGATTTCTTCGTAAATTGTTAAGAGAATTAAAAAAATTAACTTTACACAATCTATGTTTAATATTTTCATTTCAATTATATAGTTGTATAAATAATTTCAAGACAATTTATGACACCAAAATACACTTTCATCAAAACAAAATATTTGTCATATAAATCTTATTATATACCTATCTAAAATATATCTAAAAAAAAAAATTCTAAAACGGTAAAGTACCTACTACACTTTTAGCAATTATTTAATTACTCAAATTTAGAAACAATCTTTACATTTTTAGCCATTAGAAAATGGTTAAAGATTTAAAAAAAACATTGGCTGTAGGTTAACTTTTATATAGGTTTTCAAAAACATCTGTTAAATAAAACTAAAATCTTATAATAAAATCTATATGCATATATATTATAAATATTACGCATATTTTGTTTTTAATTTATACGATTAGATTATTGGAAATCTGTACCTTGTAAACTAACCATCGCTGGACATGTGGTTTTTATTTATTTTATGATTTGTGTCATCATAATAATAATTGTAATAGAATTTCCTAATTTGTATAGAATTATTACTATTATTATAAATTATTAATTCTGTTAAACGGAAAACCATTAGTTGAATACCGTTGAATACCTACAAGTCAGGTTACGCTATTGACATTATTTTTAAATATGCAAATTAATATATATATATATAGATAACGTGTAAAATTATAAGACATCGTAAATATCGGAGTTGAGGAAGATAATGATACTAAGCTAATAATTTACAGACGTGTAATTTTGATTAACTATAATAATTAAATATTACGTATAAACGGAGTAAGGTCTACAATGGCACGTTTAGTCTAATATATAACACTATTATTGAACATAAAGAGATATTTCAATGTTTAATCCTTCCGTATATGTATAGTAGGTAAACATATTTGAAGTTTTAACTACATTAAATTTCAGGTTTGACAAAATTGTATAATAACAATAACCGATGTTGTGTAAAACGTTAGCGTAGTATAAACACGAAAATAATGGTTGCATAACTTCATGATACCTAACTATTATTTGTCGTTTTTAAACGTTTTATATTATCAGCCATCATTGTCAATCCAAGCACTAAGCATAGTATACAAACTTGTATGCATATTTTAATTTATAATAATATATTGTGTTTTAAAAACAGTAGTTTTATTGTTTATTGAACATTGTGTAGCACAATATAAAATATATTCTAAAAAAAAAATATAAGTTAAAACGAATAATAGCATAATGTAAAATATAAAACTAACTAAAATAATAAAATGTACTTCATACTTATTAAATATACCCTGCATAAATTATTTTGGTACGAATTCAATGAATATCAACCTTAACTGCAGGGCTTAAAGTTACAAGCAAGGAAACATAAACCAGCTGTCCCACGGTTTTATATAGGTGGATAATATTATCATATAGGAACTATATTATAGTTATTTGTCAATTTTATTTTAATTTTCTGGTGATTGATAATCACTAAGTATCTTAAATGGTTTATAGCACATTGCTATAAAATGGCATATTAAATGACTGTATTCAAATAAAGTGATAGAAAATATTAATTAACGATTTGTTAGAATAATTAATGACATTGTGAGCGTATTAAAGTTTTATTGAGATATCATAGTAATACAAAGTTTACCTATGTATATTTAAGGGTTTTTTTACTCAGTAAAAAATACATTGGTGTATTTTTTGAAATAATAACATAATAACATAAAACGATTATCGATTTTTAAATTCCTTTTATTAAAATATTGAAATTCAATAGGTATTTATGTAGCCTATACCATCATATTTTCTGTTTATCTGTATATTATCAGGCCTAAGAAAACAAACTTCTATTATTTGTAGTATTTTTTTTCATATTTTAGTATCTACAATATTATTTAGGAATTTTGTATTTTGTCAAAAAAGAACGCTAATTTTATTGACGGCGTATAAACCAATCACTGTACAAAACTATTACAATAGAGAGCATTCAAATATTTTAAATTTCATGTTGACGAAAATACAACGTAAATGCGTGTAATATAATATCACAATCATTATTAGATACGAGCCACAAACATGTCATAAAATCAATTTCTCCATTATTGAATCCATTTATTTGAGATAATAATTCAAAAATGGTTTTTTCAATAAGGTATATGTTAATATACCATATATTATGTATAACTAATGATTTTTAAAACGTACATTACTCGTCTTTATGTCCATTGTTTTTTACTAAACATAATATATAAAGGACTAATTAAAATTAAACGTTTATTATAACTTCATTTTCTTGTCATTTTTTTTTATACGTTTAGGTTAAATACATTTATTTAATACATTGCACTCTTCTAGAACAGAATTATATCAATTTGAATGCATATTTGAAACGTGCAACAAATTATTATAGCTTTATAATCTATATTTATGCAGACAAATATTCTACATTCTACAATATTGACCATCTAAATGATTTACAATAAATACATAAATTGTTCGAGAAACGACGATATAGGCATCTTGCGTTAGTAAAAAATTCATTCTGCAACATTATAATGAGTATAGATATTACGTATATTGTATATTTGTGAATATGCCAGAGAAAAACGTGGCAATAAAACAACATATGATTGAAGCATTTCGAGTTAACAACATTTATATAGCTCACTAAAAAAAAAAAAAAATAATAATAATAATAATAATAAATAAATAAGAAGAAGACTTACTGATTCGGCCTCTAGTCGTTGACATCACTTAACCCCGGTTTAGAAAACTATCGCCGCGGACCGCGGATTATTAACTCATTTTTATTGCTGTCCCATAATGGTGGTCGAATTCATTAAGCGGGTTCACTCGTGCGCACTGTTTCTATATTTAATATACTACACGACTTGGGCTGGCCAAATGCAAATTTAATACCAGTCGATTTTTGCAAATTATCAACAGTTTAACTTTGTACAATATGTGCATTACGGTGCGTGCGTCGTGTACGTATACTATATATACATTATACGTCGTTATAAGTGTATGACGTATTACTGTTATTGTTACGCGGTTCGAAAAAAAAAAAAACAGTGGCTCGTCGGACAAAAAATACAATACTATCTTATATATCTATAAAACCATAGGTATACAGGGTGTTTAATATGATGAGATTTCAATAAAATTTTTATTTTTTTTTAGTGATTAGATATATTGTCGGTTAACGGTTTGTTAATTATTTTTTTCACGTCGAAACATATTTGATACGGACTTAAACAGCGTATACAATGTTTTTTTTTAATGTTGATAATGAACATCAATATCGAAAATAAATTTACTAGTGATTTTTTTTTTTTACACTCATAATACAATTTTTTATGTATTTATTATTCTGATTTTGATAAAAAAAAAATTCATAGTAAATAACAAAAATACTCATAAAAATATAATTAATACGAATGATATTAAATAATATTTGACCACATCCGTTTATTTTATAATTGGTCATAGAATTATGATTAAATCGTTAAATTAATTTCTCTATGACTTGTATGATAATATACAATTATACAATAATAATACATGTTATATAATATGTATATTACTTGTGCGAGACTTTGTGCATACCTACGAATATTACCGCGGGTGCCGATCACCGGAAACGGGACTGCAGTGGTTTTAAATCGGCGTTGTTCTCAGACCGTGACAAACTCCGCTGCCGGCGTTGCATCGAAACCCGAATGTAGAAAAATGACTGTCGAGGAAGCCGTTAATCCTTGTGACAATGTAAAGGAAGGAAACAACGGTTCATCGGTTCCCTTTTGACTGATTGAACTCGTTGGGGAGACGACACATCTAACGCGGTTGCGGTAAATGAAAAACACAATAAATTACCCCACCGAGGGGAAACGTAAAAGAAAAGAACCGTCTCCCGTTCGAGTTTATATTCGTATAGTGGGCGCATATGAGAAGATCTAATCACCGTCGTTGTATATTATTTATTATATTTGTTAATTTCAGTACGGGACGTGACCTAAAAATTATAAGTTTGTACACGATTAAGACAATATTAATAACAACGTAACAACAAAATTAATATATGGTAGGTAATAATATAATGATTAAGTCTAAAAAATTAATTGGATACATTGAGGATTATGCACATTAAATTTCTAAAATATATTATTATAATACTATATATTTTTTGCGAATGGTATACATTGAATATCTACATTGTATGTCACTGTTGTAGGCTTGTAACGTGTAGTAAGCGCGTATGTTTACATTTTATAATATTTAATATGTGGTTTTTAACAATAAAAAAAAAAAACAATAAATATAATTTTTTTTATACAGAATCAATCAATGTCATTGACGCCACATTTACAAGGATCCACATCGCCAGTCTCTAATGCAAACGACGGACAACTCGGACCAGGTATATTATTATTATAATTATTTATTATCATAAGAATGCTTTTATACTACAATTTTACAAGTATTCGGATTCCAAAACTTTGAAATCTTAACGCTTAAAAAATAAAGCTTTTATTTTTAAAGTTTAGATCATTTTAATGTGTATAAAAAATGATAATTTAATTAATAATAGCGAGATGTTTTAAGTGTTTTAAGTTTATATTATAATTATTATTATTATTTCAAAATTTCAATAGTTCCTTAAAAGTTATGCTGATATTTTTATTTAAATTAACTTATTAAAAATTTGTTGTTACATTTTTAAGTAGGTATAAGTATTAAAATCAAGAATGCTATGAATTGTGAATTACAAAATAACTTAGGTACTTATTTTTGTGATCTCGAGACGAATTTGTTAAAAATTTGATCTTTAAATTATTTTAAAAATACTTATATCAACTTAATCCAATTTTTTAATATAAACCACTCTCGATGTTAAAAATTTGAATTTTTGTACTGTTCTTAAAAGTTATGTCAGCCTTTCATACAAAAAAAAACTCAATCATCATATAGGTTATACAGTAAAACCAATACTATTTTATATAATACATCACTAAACATCTCAAAAGCTTGTTGGTATATATTATGTATATATTTTTGAAATTTGTATTAACAAAAAATATAAATTAATATCAATATTACCAGTTGTAAAAATAATTATATCTGTACTCTTCAAATTCCGAGGTGGCTCAACTATTATACATAATGTATATTGACACCTGACCCGAAGATTAGGTCGTCGAACCGTGGAGACTATTTGCATTGTCTTATCCCGAAGATTGTTCGGTTGGTCGGTCAACCGATCGGTGTGTTGGGTGAATTCGTCGGTGAATGCGCAATCGGTCGGTTTATATTGATTGTGCACCGAGTTATAGACTAAACGATAGCACTGTGTAATTTCTAAGGTCGTATCCATAGAGCTCCTTGAACATGGGACAGCATTAATAGCTTAAATAAGCATTGATCGAATGTCTTTAATGGCTGTCAACAATATTAATAAAAAAAAAAAAACCCACTAGGATTAAAAAAACTAACGACGTCATTATTTTTAACCGATTAAAAATTTGGTATTATTATTTCTTTCTCAATAATATAATATAATATTGCATTATGCACACGTATTTTTTAATAACTATAACATGCAATCCAATGAACATTACACTTCAATACTGTAGGCTTTTCGGATTTTAAATGTGTCTAAACTAAACAAGCGTTTTTTCTCTTTAATACGCTTTAGTTTACTATTTTAGATATACATTGTTTAACTGTTTAGTACGGAAAAAATTGTTTATATTGTTAATGTTGAATTAAAAAAAAAAAAAAAAAAAAAAAAAACCAACAAAAAAAATAACAAATGGCTACTGTACTTACATATAGCTGAAATAACTCTACGGAGGTCATTATTGTGCTGGGTTAAGAAAAATTACGGTATCGAATGAGTAAATACAGAGAGTGAAATCGTGTAGGGAAAAAATAAGTTTCGTTGGTTAGGTGCTTGGCGGTCGGCGATATTTTTTATTATACGGAATTAGGGTTCATTGGAGACATAGCTGCGTATACACCGAAGCGACCTTTATTATCGAATCTATGTAATATGTTTATGGCGTTGTGTCAGTTTTATGATGATACGGAACCGGATGTTTGCATCGTTTCCGTGGTCGTAAATACGCGCGCATAGAGTCTGTTTTATAAAATAAACGTAATCAATGGATTTATTTAATCTAAATCTGAACAACTTGGTCATTGTTGCGTATAGAATAATAATAATAATAATAATAAAAATAAATAAAAACAAAAATAAAATAAAAATATGCACTGCACATGACTCCTACATCTTGTACGCCCATCCATGTAGCGTATAAGAAATACGAATAATACTATGCTGATGATTTATTATAGTATTAATATTTTTTATGGAAATCTGTGATTCTGCCTCCACAGCCGTCGCAGTTATGTTGTACAGCCGTTATCAATGATCCCATCTCACGATGACGAGACCACGGCGGCGTGTAACAGGATTATTGTGTATTCGGACTTCACCTTTAGACACCCGGTTAAGACTCTGAGGCTTTGGAAACTGACACCTGCGGGTCTAGGTAACGATGGTGGTGGTCAGCTCATCGTCTAGGCCGGTCCAAGCGTGGATAAATAATTAGAGACCTGGGCACGGCCCGTAATGGACCCGGGTCTTCTTGGACAGTGTAATAACGTCTTGTCCAAAAAGGCTTATCTGAATTTAAATGACTCAACCCACGGTCACAATGGCATTTTGATTGAATTCCGGGTCGTATGACAACTCCGTGTAAATAATATTGTGTAATATATATATATATATATATATATAAGTGTATCCCCGCTGGGATTGCTGTGTGGTGTGCCTCCTGCAAGTGCCGTGACACGCTAATTCCGCGTGGCTCAAGACATCAACGTATTTCTGTTCCGATGTACTATGCGTAGATACCTATTGTTAGTCATTTATAGACACTGAGGTACATGCACATCGCCGTCGTTTAGTTCGTACGTGTAATGCTTAAGCTACGCGTGTTATATTGATAAACGTTTGCGAAAAAACCGCTATCTAAATAAATTATATCGTCAAATGAAAACGTTTTAGTATAAAATAATGCGGTAGGTATGGATAATAATATTATAATCGCCTTTCACAAATTTCTAAAATACAAAAATCGTTCTGATGAAAGGTGTGTACAGTTATAATACAGTGGTATTTTTCGAATTAACGTTGGTTTTTTTTTTCTACGATTTAAATATTATATACTTGTATATATATTTATAATGATCTGTTTTAAATTAATCAATTACCGTCAATCAGAATATCGAAAGTAGTCTCTGCTTTATAATACATTGTATACCAATACCAAAAATTTTCCCGATGTCATTTTAATTATCGACGGTCGTTCTAATTATATTTAAAATAGGTGATCATAGTAACTGATTAAAACAAAAATATTTTCATTTTTTTTTCTTTTTTTTATCTTAAAATGTTTGTATCATAATTTAATCATTAAGATTACGATTATAATGTTTAGTGTATACGGATGAATCTAGTAATGAAAAATAAACAAATTTTAATAAAGCTAAAAATATATTTGGCAAAGTAATTAATTACAGTGTATTAAGAGATATGGTATGGATGGTGGGATGTAGGCCATAAATATTTTTAAATGACCTAACGGCGCAGTTACATATTTTATTTTAAATAGTATCTAGTTATTACAAATGTGTCTAATTCTACACAACACCTCAATCCAGTTATATTAGCTATATTTTAATTTCTATGAATTATTTTATAAATTATATAATAACCGCTTTTACTAATAGCTTATTAAAGTGGTATAAAGTGGTAATCATATTGAATAATGTCACTAAATTTAATAAAATTAATTAAAACTCGATCTTCGAAATCATTATTTCTAAATGACGACGTTTTTTGTTTTTTTTTTTTATAAAACTTATTTAAACTAATTAACTCAAACCTGTTTTAATCGTTTTCTAATTATTTTAATTCAAACTTAACAAACCATATTGGTTTAAAATATTTAAAACGTACATAATGTTATAAATTATAATATTAATTATAAAATTAAAATTATAAATTTAAGATTTTTAATTAATTTAACCCAACAGAGTCGTCTCATATCAATTCTTAATTTTAAGTCAAATTATATTTTCTTTTAAATTTATTGTACAAAAATTGTATAGATCGTTTAATTCAACTGAAAAAAAAAATAATAAATAATTTGGTTGGTATTCCGTAGTATAATAATGATGTAATACTTATATAAAAGTTATCAACTTAGATATTCTTAAATAAATACATCACATAGTATTATTTATTAAGTTAGTATAGATATAGTATTTATTAATCAAACCTGATGAATTAGTGTTTTAAAAGTTATTTATTTTGGATTATTCAAATTTCGATGTAAATTAATTTGGTTAAAAAGTTTTAGCCATTAATCATTTACATAAGCTGTACTATAATTACTAAAAATCTGACAGTATTACATGGTGTTTCTTCAATGATATTTTTGATTCAAATTAATCAAAATATAATAATATAATAATGATAAAAATGTGTACATTAACATTTTTGAATACAAATTGAATCGAATTTATCATAATCTAATAATATAAATATTAGACTTATTTTTTTTTTTTTATGCTAGCACATTTTACCTTAATGAATTGTTTTATTTTGTTAGTAAACACAATATGTATAAAATATATTCATTTAAAATAGCGTTATTTATTTATTACCTGTTATTTTATTAAATATTTTGATGTTAAAATGCTTTTGACAAATATACTCGCAGTCTAGATCTGGTGTTCTCTTGTTGCCTACTGTAATCGCCTTAAAACCTAACTTAAAATAGTATCAGTGAACCGTAACGTTCTTATAATACAATATATACATAACATAAAATAGTAGTCTAACTACATTGTTCGACCGATGGTAAATTACTATAAAACTAAAACGAAGAAATTAAACCAATTCAAAATATTTAAATACAATTTAAAGGTAAAAGTACGATGCACCTAATAATATAATATATATTGTACATATAAATTATTATAATAAGCATTAAACAATCAACTGTATTTAAGCAATTTTAAATACAACATAAAAACCGTAGTAACTGACCAATAAATTTAATTATGACCGAATATGAATGAAGTGTGATTACATCTAGCTACGACCGAGAGTATTATTTTTTTTATTCATTATGATATCGTAGACAACAATCGGGTTACGGTAGCCGCGGCGGCGACTGTGTGGAAAAATCCTCGAGGGGTCACATGTATCGTTAATGATAACAATATCGTTGTTGTGTGTACATAATATTATTGTTATTTATATTATTATCATATTGTTATATAATGTGTGGTCGAGAGAGGAAAATCTCCGTTTTTCCGACCTTAAAATCGGAAAAAAATCACCGA